TATAACTTTGAAGGTTTTCTCTGGCTACTGTGTGAAGCCTGTGTTGGTGGAGAGTTAGAGTAGAAGCAGGGAGCCAGGCAGGGATGCTTACAGTCATCAAGGTAAGCAGCGAGGATGGCTCAGAGCGGTAGCCGTGAGGTGGGCAGTCGATGGGTTTGGGAGGTAAGGTCTGGAGGTAGACGCAACAGAATTTGCCAACAGAGTGGCTGTGGGAGGTAAGGGGGGAGAAAATGAAAAACAACTCCCAGTCTCCTATTTATCAGGCTCCCTGCTGTTTACCAAGAAGGGAGAAATCTGGGGAGAAAGAGGTTTTGGGTAGGGACCACAGGTTTGGTTTTAGGGGCAGAAAACTGAATGAGTGACTCTTGGCTTTCTCAGCCATCTCGATGAGGGTGGGGCCTGGGTGGCTGACGGCGGACGCCAGTGGGCAAGGGCCAGTTGAGGCTGGCTACGGATACCCGTGGCACTGTCCCAGGTAGCTGGACGAGGCAGAGGGTTCTCAGGGCTGATGCTGAGGCTGGGCCAGGGTGGGAAGTCATCATCCAGCAGGAAAGGAGCAAGAGGTCTGGAGCAGAAGGAGGGAATGGTGGGGACCTGGGGTCTGGGGGTCTGAGAGGGAACAGTTTGGGAGTGGCCATGTGAGCAGGAGGCTGAAGTGAGGTACATGAGAGTATCAGCACTATCTGGGGGTTGCAGGAAGTGTGAGAGTGGCACTGACATGGTCAGTAAGGTCCCCAAATGATGTTTGAGCCTGTGATGAAAAGGAGGCCCTTGAAACAGACGTCAAAGTCCCGTGTGAACATAAGTTCCCACAGGGCACGTGGCAGGTAACCCAGGGGAGGAAAGGACAGAGGCAGAATGGCAGGAATGGAGACAGCAGGGTCGTGTACAGGATGGTGAAGGAGGGGTCCCAAAGGGATGGAGAGGAGAAAAGCAGGTGGCAGCCAATCTCCTTGTGTGGGAGAACAAGTGGTTTTTCCAGACTCTGCTGGTGAGAGTGCAGTGTCCCAGCTGTAAGGGAAGCCTGAGCTCCCTGACAGCATGGTGGAGAACCTGGGAGGGCGTGTTTCTGGGGGTATGCAGCTTCCAGAGGGCACAGCTGGAGAGAGACTGAGGGAGGAAGGGGGAGAGCAGAGCGACGCTCTGGGGGCAGTGACCCCCTTATCCTTTCTCACTGGGGCTCCTCGCCCCCTCCACTATCTCCTCTTCAAATTCAGCCTTCACAAGAGCTGCCAGGCACTACTAAGCACAACTCCAATCCCGTCTCTTACCCACCTCATAAACCCCAGGGGTTGCCCACTGCCCTCAAATTAAAGGCCTTGCTCTTTAGCCTGGTACATAAGGCCCTTCTGGAAGAATTTATCTGCTGCCCTCCTATCCACCTCTCTCATCCCAAATCCGCACAAAGCAGAACTCTTTATATCTCTGAAGGCACGATGATGCCTCTGCGCCTTTGCACATGCCGTTCTCTTTTGCCTGGAATGCCTTATTCATTTCATGTGCCTAGAAAATGTCAACACATCTTCTGAAGAGCTTCTCCTTGCAGAGGCTCCTCTGACTCCCTCAAGGAGTCACTCTGCTGCATTTGCATGGCCTCATCAATCTGTTTCTCCCAGAATCATGGGAGCACTCCTTAGGAAGACAGTGTGGAAAGCACTTCTCTATCCTCCATTCCCAGCCTGGTGCCTGGCATACACTCAATTAATACTTAAGTGAATGGAAGAACACAATTCTAGCTAATTATAAGAGCCAGCACATACCAAGTACACTGTCATTCCTAGCATCATGTTAAGCTCTTTAAATGTATAATCTTGTGTCATCCCCATAAGAACTGTGGTGGAGTAGATATTGTTACTACACCCATTTTACAGTTGAGAAAACTGAGCCATCATGGAGGTGAAGTGACTCTCCCAAGCACATTGAGCTAGTCAGTAGTAGATATGAGCTTTGAATTCAGAGCTAATTCCAGTGTCCCTGCACTTAGCCACTATCCTATATCGCCTCCAAGAAAGAGAATAACAAGGTGTGAGAGAACACGGGGCCATGGAGACTAAGGTGTGAAGTGAGTCTGCAATAAATCAACAATAACAAAATCAGCTTTCCTTTAAGTAACTGTGATGATCACAAACACTGGGGGTTGCCAACCAAAAGTCCATTTACCCTTCTTCAGTGCTGACAGAGTTCTGCTTTTCTCTGTGAACATCCTTACCCACGTAATTCAGGTAAATCCTGACTGGTCAAAATTAATCTTAGTAGCATCATCCTTCTTGTCTGTGATTGGTTTTTGGTGGGCATGAGATCCAGTTAACTCCTTTAAAGAATTTTTTTAAATTTGTGTAAATACACATAACACAAAATTTACCATTTTAGCCATTTTTTAAATGCCTGTTAACTCTTTAAAGGAGACAGCTAGATGTGTTGCTGAACTTGGTTGGTGAAGATGTAGTGTCTGGAGTTGCTGCAGCCATCTTGCGATCAGGAGAGCAGTCACTGACTCACTGAGGATGGTAGAATCTGATTCTCAGTGTGGCTGCTGACTGCTGGATCATTCCTACCTAAACCCTTCTTTGTACAGAAGATAATAAACCACCCTACTATGTAAGCTCTAACTTAAGTTGGTCTTCTTTGTAGCTGAAAGTATACTGATACAGTGACAATACAGGTGGTGGAATTGTCCTTGTTTGGTAAAGGACATAAAGTATAAGGAACTTTGCTGGTCATTGGGAGCTACTGCCCTGGCCAGGGTCTGCTGGCCTTTGGTCTTCTAGTGAGAATGATGATCTTGGCCTGGATGAGTGGTGATAGTGAATTGGGACATCATTTGAATAAGCTTGCAGGATCTACAAAAGGTACTATCCTGGCTGACTGGGGGTTCAGTTCACCAAACACCAATTATGTATGTCCATGATGCTGGGATCAAATGGATTAGTCAGACATAGTCCTTGACCATGAGGGGCTCACAGTATGGCGGGAAAGACGGTTGCAGGCCAGTGATGAGTGATGTATGGGTCTACACAAGGTCCAGAGGCTGATGTGCAAGGTGGCCAGGTGAAAATTCATGAAGATACTTCGAAAATGATAAGAAAAGGGGCAGAGAAAAAGGCATTTCTAGGCAGAATGAACCGCATATGTAAACTCACAGGGATCTCTCAGGGAAATTAGAAATCATTTAGCATAATGGGAACTGGGCTGGCCACTTACAGGTCCTGTGTCTCTGAGCAAATTACTTGATGGCTCTGAGGCTCAGAATTCACATTTATAAGAAATAGAGAAAAAGGAAGAAAAATGGTTGCAAAGCTAGTAACAGAATATATATGTCAAGGGCAGTGCTTGGCATATATTAGGTGCACAAGAAATGCTCTTTATTGTTCACCCATTATTATCACATGGTTCTAATTCATTATCTTCTCTGACCCAGGTGGCTTTCTTTCCTTTCTCACTCATTCCTGAGCCTAGTAGCGAGGCCCCCCAACTCCCACAGACTTTTCCTCGGGCAGGAAACCCGAGCCTACTGCCTGGCCTAAGTTAGCTTCTAGGGCTGGGTGGTTTGTGTTATTCCTTCTCTCTCTCTCTCTCTCCTTTTTTTTTCCCCCTAAATGCAACAAAATAAAACCAAACAAAAAGCCCAACGCCTGGCGTGGCTTGTCAGGGAGTTATGCAAGTGTGTAAAAAAATAAAATAAAATAAACATTGAATTTTCAGCATTTGGGACTGTTTGATTAGGCACGGAGCAGAGCCAAGGGCTGGTGAGACATAGGGAAGGCTCAGGGCAGAGGGGAGAGGGGAGGCACTTGAGAGGGGTTGGAGAGGGCCCAGGACCAGCTTGGAAATGGCTGTTTGCTTCCTGCAAATTTGGCAATGCTCTGGCTGCATGAGCCCAGACACTGGGCATTTGGGACCCAACTGCGCACATTCTCTGGCCATCCACCATCCCTGTTTCCTGACTATCAGGACACACCAGGGGTCACTCCATCCATTTCCCTGTCACTGTGAAAGACCCTGTGCCCTTCCTTGTTTCAAGAGTCAGGGCTCCCCTCTTCTCTCCTGAGAAGGAGATTCCACAGCCTGTCTTGATTACTTACTGCAACCCCCACCCCCTACCAAAAATCAGTATAGCTTTTCTGCTCTAACTTAACTCCTGCTAAGTACAGTTTTAGCCCATTTTCCTTTATTCAATCCAAAATGAAGCTGGAGAACAGCTGTTTGCCACCCTAAGAAGTGAGTTTCCTCTCCTCCTTTCTTTAGGCTTGAACATCCCTTCAACATCATCTGGGTCACTGCAGGTGCCTGCAGCCCTTCAGGACTCATTCCACAAATATTTATAAAGACCCTACCGTTTACCAGTTGCATCCTTCACTTCACCCAACCCTCAAAACACATGAGAATTGTGAAGCTCAGAGAGGTTAAGTAACATAAGCATGGTCACACAGCTGGTAAGTGACAAAGCTGGGGTTTGATTCTAGGTTTTATTCCAAAATATCCTTCACTCATTCGTACTAGCTCCGGCGTTTTGGTATCTACACCTGGGTTCGCGGCATCGACCAGCCTCCCATTTCCTCTGACCTGGGAAGATGCTCTGAAAACTTGACCCTGAGAGGGGGAGGGCGGGGCCAGGACCACAGGCCATTTTGAGCTTGTTCCTTGTCACTTTCCAGGTTCCTGATAGGAAACTGGGGTTTCGCGAGGCTCTTGGCCCTGTTCTGACCCCAAGATGCCTGGAGCTGCAGCGGGTGCTGGGCTGCGTGGAATCCCCCGGGTGCGGGGCGTGGAAAGGGAGCAGGCAAGGGCAGAGGGTCTGCGCCAGGGTCCAGAGTACTTGTGCCGCTTCCAGTCCTGCGCTCTAGGCGCAGCGCCCCAGCCGCGGGCAAGGACGTGCGGGAGGGGGGCTATGGACTCCTGGGCCTGGCGCTCCAGTCCGTTTTTTGCTGCGGATCCCAGCAAGGGGGGCCGGCTCTGGGGGTGGGACTGCAAAGGGGGGATTCCCTCCCTCGTGCGAGCAGAGGACTGGCCCCTCTCCCGGCTGGGAGCTCCGGCGGAGCGGAGGCGCGACGGAGAGCACGAGCACAGGGCGGAGAGTGGGGAGCGGACCGCCAGAGAGGGCATTGCGGAGAGCGAGGGCCAGACCGAGCCGCCCCAGAGGACCGATGCGCCGGGTGGGGCGCTGGCCCCGAGGGCGTGAGCCGCCCGCAGATTGAGCAATTTGGGAACGCGCGGGCGGAGCGCGGGCAAGCCGGGCGCCCGGACAGTCCTGCGGCGGGCGGGTGAACCGACCGCGTCCTCGCCCCTCCCGGGCCTGCCCCCGCCGCAGCTGGCAGCGCGGAGGTGAGTGCCCCCTGAGCTGCCCCCTCCTCCTCCCTAGCGCCCCCTTCCCCGGGACCTGGGGCGCCGCGGGCCCTCCTGTCGGGGCTTGGCCGAGCTGAGTGCGGGGAGGAAGGAGACTTGTGACTGCAGTGGGATCAGCGAAGGCGAGAGAGGGCACCTCTTGGAGCCTTTCTCAAGTCCTGCAGCCCCCCGCCCCCACCAGCCTTCAAGTCAGCGGGCAGTCTTCTACCGGCCGCTGCCTCGGGCTGCCCACAACCCCGCAGCCCCCAGTGACCACCTCGCTCTGCATCTGATCCGATTGTTCCGAGGTTCCCAAGTCCACCAGCCCTATTTCTCCCCATTCCCCAGTCCAGAAGCTCTCGATCCCTGCTCTCATCGCCTCGGATTTCCGCGAGTCCCACAGCCCCGGGGTACCTCCACCCCAGTCCCACAACCCGGCCACGGGTCCGACGTGGCAGGCGGCATGCGCGGCCGCCCCCCGTGCGCTGCGAGGTGGCTGGCTCCCTGGCCCGAGGGGTCCCGCACGGAGGGAGCGATGGTATTGCTTGGTTAGGGCGCGGTGGCGGCTGTGTTCCCCCGGGGCTCCCAGGAGGACAACGATGAATCTGGGGGCAGGAGCTTGGAGGCAGGGGTTTTCTTGTGAAACCGGCCTTCCAGACTTGGAGCGTTCTCTTGGATTTTGGAGGGCAGTCAGAGGGACTTCAAGCCCGCCTCCCCCCGCCCTGCACCTGCTGGGTCTCTCCTGGTAATGGCGAGAGAAAAATTTGCGTGCTTGGGGGCGCTGATGGAGGGACGTGAAGGAGCCTTTCCCCGCTGCGCTTGGTACTGGGCGGCTGCCACCGCACCTGGATCAGCTCTGGACGACGCGCCAGTCGGCCCGCACTTCGCCACCCCACCAGGAACTTCTGCCCCTGCCCGCCAGGCCGCTCTCCGGCCAAAACTCTCCACCCTTAGCTGGTCCCGGGGAGAGCTAATGAGAAACCATCCGGATGGTTTTCATTTTTGGGTCTGGATCAGGCCCCGAGGAGACTACCAGTTTATCCCCATAGTGTTGAAGGCAAGAAGGTGAAAATCATTCCAGCATTTTGGGAACACCAAGTCTCAGCCCTCAGCTCCACCCTCAGCTGTGCACTCCTCCCCAGCGTGTGTCCAGCCCCTCCCAGGACCACCTAGCACAGTGGGACTTCTCTCCTAGGTCTCCCAGGCCAGCTCTGCCTCTGCCGCCAGCCCCGTCCCGGCCTCTGAGTCTATTTCCCCAGGCTGGGTCATGCCCCACACCCCTCAGCTCCCCGCCCCTTGCACACTTTCCAGACACCCAGTTCTGAGTAGCAGACCGGCTGGTCATTGACTAGGTTTCTAACCTCAAGACCCTTAACCTCTCAGGGCCAGTAAAATGGGAACAACTCCGCTTCCCTTCCAGAGTTTGGTGAGGAGTAAATGAGCGCCTACACGTGGCAGGTGGTGCAAGCACCTAGTGAATATGAATCTCCCACCCCCACCTTGGCAGAGACAAAATGCCCTTCTTTACCCCCACGGATGCCTGAGATCTTGATCCTTGCCAGAAGCTCCCATTGCTGGCTCTGCGTGTGCAGAGTAATGGGCCTCCAAAAAGTATCTGCCTGTGCCATGTAGCCCAAGGCAAAGGAAATCAAACAGAGGAACTAATAGAAATGTGGCAGGCTGCTTAGAAAGTCATTAGCTCCTATCCCACCTCTCAGCCCTTGTCTGGGGTGGTCTGTGTGTGTGCTCACTGCACGGGAAGCAGGAGCTGGGCAGGGACTCGCTGGAGGACCTGAATGCAGGCACCTGTGACTCTCTGGGGCTCGGAGTTCCTATTCTGAGAACTGTCCAACTTTTAAAACCAGATTTCACATATAATTCTGAATTTTAAACTTTTAAAAATAAAACTAGAAGATCTGGTAATACTGAGCCATTAACATTTCTGCCTGTCAACAGTCAATTGGAGTTGAATAGCATGTGCTCCCTTTAGACAGGACATTTGTCCCCCAGCTCACCCTCCTCCACATCCAGCTTCCCACCTATCTGTTGCCTGTAAGCCTTAGCTCCTTTTCAGGGTTGATTCTATATGAATATTTTTTTAAAGTGCTCGAATCTCTTCCCACCCAGTGATGGATGAGGGAAGCCAGCGTCACTTGCTTCAGTGAAATTCAGACCTGGATCTCCCTCCCTACTTCCCAGCTGAGGTCCTGGTTTGATAGTGGTTCAGGGGGGGGTGGATCAAAAGATCCCCACTGGCCAGGACTGGGTGAGCATGGCAAGAGCAGGCTGAAAGCTAAGGCCTGGGAGGCCGGAGGGAGGATTTAGAGGGCAAGCAGAGAGAGAGAGAGAGGAAGGGGGCTCATGTTTGCTGGGCACTAGTCCCAATATGCCAGGCACCATTCAGGGCAGGCACAGGGGGTGCACAGATGCGTAGGAGAACTTCCTGCCCCACAGCCCTTCTGGGTGTTGATCACACAGCAAGACCAAGGTCTCCCAGGCCTGGGATTCAGCGCCAAGTTGGTCTGATGTGGTCTCCTCCAGTGTTTGTCCAGTGTAAGGACTCATGTGCCCTGAGAATATATTTGCCAGGAAGCCTCAGACCTCAGGTCCAGAAATGCTGCAATTAAAGCTTAACCTAGCACTCTGAGCGATCACTTTGGCACCAAGGCAATCAACCAAAGAGATAAATGCAAATACGGAAATTGCATAACAGTGCTCAGTATGAAGATTAGCATCCAGATGATTAAAAAAAAACTGTTTATATTCCTTTTTAGATGACCATTGGCATGTAGACACAAAATGAAGTTTTGGTCATAGAAAGTACAACAACTATTACTGAGTCCTCATTATGTGCCAGGTACCATTCTAAGCAGTTTCATCGATTAACTCATTTCAGCTATAAAACACAACCCTCTTGCAGATGAGGAAACTGAGGCTCCAACCAGCTAAGCAACTAGCCCAAGATAACAGCTAGTATGTAGCATAACCAACATTTGAAGCCAGGGAGTCTGACTCTGAAGTTTATGCGCCAACCTCTTAGTCTAGACACTGCAGGCTAAAGACCCCAGTTGGATAAACCCAGCTGGACGTCCATAATCTGTAGGTGATGGAAGTGTGGAAGTGTGCAGTGGGGGCTAGGGAGGCTGGACAGCTTTAGCAGGTCACGCAGGGTGTACTGGAGGGGCGTGTAGGGGCTGGCATCTGGGGCTGGTTGGGGGCATGTCTGCTGGTTCTGGACTCAGCACCAGGTGGGACTCATCAGCCTCGTGTAAACACTTCCCACAGGCAGTTTAACCACTTGAGTGTGCCTGGCCTTCAAAGCCAGTGGGAGAGGCCAAGGAGGGAGGTACCGAACTCCCTTGTGGGATAATGATTTATCTCCCATGCAGGTGGGCTGTACTGGGTCCTCCCTGAGAGGCCAGCAGGGAAAGGACTGGGACAGGGGGTGGGAGGGGCTCTGCCACTCCAGCATGTCAGATTTCTCATTAGTAAGCCAAAACTCGGCCAACTCTCAGAGCAAGCCTGTGAAATAAGCCTCTTTATCCCCATTGTATAGATGAGGAAACTGAGGTTCAGAGAAGTTAAGTGACTTGCCTAAAGGCATCTAACCAGTGGATGGATGGAAGGATGATGCTTCCCTGGCATCTGCAAAGCTTCCTGAAGGCTCGCTGTTTCCTTCTGCCCCCGTGTGAGTGTGGGTGGGTGGGCAGCAAAGTGGGTGAGGCAATACTTGCCAGGGCTCTGTGTGAGAGTATGCGGGGAGTGTGTGGTCCTGAGCGTGGAGTGGGGTTCTCAGCCTCTGACTCCCAGGTTGGCCTCCCACTTCCCAGGCACGCTTCATCGGGGAGGGACCAGCTTCCCCTGCCCACTCTGGTCATCCCTGCCAGGGCCAGTGGATACAGAGACCTGGCTCTCCCTGGACTGGGGGATTATCCCCATTCTCTGTGTCTCTGGCGGGGGCGGGTGTCGCTGCCTCTTTTATCCCCTCACAAAGGCCAGGACCGCTGGGCCTGCTGTGTCAGAGTTTCTGTGGCTAGGGAAGCCTTACTTCCTTTTCTCCTGCCAAGCCCAGAGGGCCACGCAGAGTCTGCCAGCTTGTTGGGGGCCACTGCTGTAGCTCCAGGACAGATGAAAGGCCCAGGGGTGACTCAGCCCTGGGAAGAGAAAGCTGAGGGGGTCACTCGCCAAAGGGTAGGAGAGCTCCTCTTCAAGAGATAGGATACTACTGCAGCATGTGGGCTGTAGGATAGACCTAAAGAAGGACTTCCAGTTAGAGCTGGCCACTAATGGACAGGGGTGGGGCCAGCTGGTTCCCACTGATTCACAAGTTTGGTGCGAGGGTCCGTCATATTCCAGCTGTTTGAGTAGCCAGCTCCAGTCCCAGGTTAGGGGCTTCTGATAGGAAAAGGAGCAGATTTCTTCTACAGGGTGCCAGATGCATAACTTGTAATGTCCAACCCTTCTGAGTTTCCAGTTTCCTGGATAGGGGACCCCAAGGGAGGGCAGGAGGCATAGGTGGGGGGATCCCATGGCATCCCAAAATTAATTCATCTCTTTTTTCCCCCAACAGGTTGGTTTTTGGCAGTGTCCCTGCTGAAGTGACAGAGTTCTCCCATGTGAAACACTGAGGTGCCTTTGAGGAAAGTTGTCTGGACCTCCTTATGGGCAGACGGAGAAGTGGGCTCCCCACACCCTCTCTGTCCCCAGCTGAGATTATGGTGGATTTGGGATACAGCCCAGGCCTGGGCCTCCTGCTGCTGACCCAGCCCTGCAGGCATTAGCGAGGACCCTGCACTGTCCCCCTCCTCAGAGACCACCCCTCCTACCAGGGGCCTGGAGCCGGCCAGTGACTATGCGGCTTGGGCTGTGTGTGGTGGCCTTGGTTCTGAGCTGGATGCATCTCACCGAGGGCAGCCGGGGGATCAAGGGGAAGAGGCAGAGGCGGAGTGAGTAATGGAGCAGGGCTGGACCGCTGCTGGCCTTGGGAGTGGGAGGGGGCCGCCTGGGGGCGGGAGGGCCTGGTAATCTCATTCTGTGATGACCACTGCTGATTTCTACTTTGTCTGTTACAGCTATGTAGAGTACTCAGCAGATTACCCTGCTTGTGAATTGTGGGTTAGTGGATTAATGGGTGGAAATTACCTACTCTGTAGATTACTCATTTGTCTTTCTTCCCCCTTGTAGACTCTGCTTTCTAGATTAACCCCTCTCTTCTGAGGATCTGTTGTGGATTATGCCCTTTGACATAACACCGGCTTTGTGTGGTATCCATGGAGATGCTTCCCCTGCTCACTGCCCCCAGGGTGCTTGGTACCCTCCTCACTGACAGGACTTCAGGGCTCCTCTCTTTTAGTGGTGGCTGATGTGCAGCCCTCAGCCCCTTGGGGCCAGGACCTTGCACAGCAGTGGGCACAGCCTTCCCTGCCCAGATCATGGGGCAGGGACAGCAGAGCAGGGAGTGTCGTGCAACTACCCACTCCTGTGTTTTTTAGCCCTGCCCGGTGTGATTTGGGGAGCTGCACTGGGGGGTGAAGGTGGGGCAGTGGGCAGGAGTCTCGCCCTCCTTCCCTTCCAACCACAGCAGCTTCATTTTTCCTGCTTTCGCTAAGAATCCACATAAGTTGTCATTGGAAGGGTCCTCACAGCTTAAAAACAGATAGATTCTATCATTGTATGCAGATGAGGAAACCGAGACTAAGAAAGGGAAAGAGACAATAGGCCTAAGGACACAAAATCAGTATCAGAACCCAGGTCTCCTAATTCCTGTGAGCCCAGTCTTCTTGAAAACAGTTTGATAGAGTTCAAGACAAACGTGTGCGCACCGCGCCTGCCTTCCCTCAGAGAATCCTGCCCCAGGCAGTCCTGAGGGCAGGCCCTCTAGAGTCTCCTGGGTGTCTCCAGTGCCAGGGCTTGGTACCTGCCCCTTGTGCTGAGGGACTGGCCACTGTGCGTGAGGGCCTGTGCCTGCGAGTGGAGTGGGGTCCCATGCTACAGACCCCAAGGCCTGTCTCTCTCTCAACAGCCTCCATGAGAAGTCACGCCCACAGGCTGGAAAAGCCCGTGAAGCCCAGCCCAGCCACCTCTTGCTTCACTTTTGAGGCCTCCAGACCAAGTCCTGCCAGGAAAGGTTGAAAGGTGGAGGAGTTTTATTGGGTCTCCACAGGAGATGCCAAGGCCAGAACCCAGCCCAGGGAGAGAAGCTTAGAGAATTGGTGAAGCTGAAAATCCCTGGTTTAACAAACAATTAGAGACAGGTTTAATCAGCAGCAAGACCTTGATTTTCCCCCCTTCTCATCTGTTGTGGTCAGTATTTTGGACTCGACAGGCGGTTTAGTGGTTTATAATCAGTCTTTTCTATTTCCAAGACAGGAGAGAGAGCAAAAGAGAAGAGTCATTCATGCTCATACATTGTGCACCAGTGGTCATGCTTCCACTCACATGTGCAGAATGTGCACCCACCTAAACCAGGGTCAGAAGACCTGGGTTCAAGTTTGTTGCACAAAAAAAAAAAAAGGCCCTGGCTTGGGCATCAGAATGTGCCCAGTCCCTGCAATGGCCAACTGAATGCAGCAGTGTTGACATGTCCCCTTTTGATACACCCACATCCCACAGCCTTGGCAGCATGTCGCCCAGCTTAATTACCCGGGGATGTGAGTGACAGCATCCCTGATGGTGAGATAGGAGAATGCAGTGAAGTGGGGGAAGAGGCTCAGGGTACAGTGAGGGATCAAATGGACATGGGCTCAGAGAGGGAGGAGGGTCCATGTTCCTAGGCAATACTGGTTAAATAGAAGCTGTAAAGCTGCAAGTTTAACTCTAAAGGAACATAGTAAGACTTACATGAGATAATAGATACATATATTGTGAAACCTTTGTAAAATATCAAGCTCTGTACAGACTTGGGGATACATGTCACTGTTACATAAACAATGTGAGGACCATTTTGCCCTTGGGTTTTTCAGGAAGTAGGGGAGGGAAGAAAGAGGTTCCAGATACCTGTGTGCCCCCACTCTGGCCCCGCAACCATGTGGGAAGGCAGCAGGGCAGCCTGGGGACAGAGGTGGGCTTGCTGTGTATCTGGGCCTTGGGCTGACACAGTGCATCATCTGTGACTGCGTTTCAGTGAGCCCCCAAAAACCACCTGACATAGCTCTGATCTGGAGCCACACACCAGTTTTGAGCCCAGAAATGGCTGATCTTGGGTCTGAGTGATAGTCTCCCTGCATGGAGAGGGAGAACTGAGCAAAGAGCTCTTCTGCTGTGAGCGATGAACTCTGCACAGGGCGGCCTCCTCCCCTCTCCCTCCCTGAGGAATCATCCCCTCCCCCAGCCTCTCCAGCACTCAGCCTCCTGCCTTTCACTGGCCTTCACTGCCCCATGCTTTCTCACCTGGATTGCCTCTCACTGAGTTCCCTCCCCTTACTGACCCTCTCTCCTGTCTGCTTCCAGGGCCCCTCACTCAGTCCTGCCCCCCAGGAAGCCCCTGTTGAGACACTGAGCCCCGGGGCCTCCAGGAGCCGGACCCCCGCCGTGCTCCTTCTCACTGCCCCGTTCTGCACCTGGAGCTGTTGTCCCCTCCTGTGCTGACCCTCCACTCAGTCCCCCTTCCCTTGCTGCAGGAAGGAATTCCTTCATTCCTTGGGCTATTCCACATACATCTGTTTGAAACCCACAGAGCCTGGCCTTGGTCACAGAGATGCATCTCAAGGAGCCCACAGGCAAGGGAGGAGCAACAGTTTCAGTCCAGCTAGTGACTGCAGCCACCGGCGGTGCTGGGAGAACCCAGAGGGAGTGGCTTCTGAGTTGCGGTTTTAAAGATGAGCAGGTCATCATCTCTAGGCATGGCGGGGAGGGGAGAGGGAAGAGCATTCCAGGCGGAGGGACCAGCATGGTCAAAGGTGTGGAGCGGGGAGGACGCAGAGACTGATTGTCCAGGAAATGGCTGCAGGTAGGAGGCTGGACAAATGGTGTAAGAGTGGAGTTCTGGGCAGCCCTAGGGTTTTCACTGGAGCAGCTATGCTCATATCTGTCTTATAAATCAGGGATCTTTCCTATTGAAAAGTAGGGTTGTGTTGCTGAAACACAACGCCCAGCACCCATCTGGACAGAGCAATGAAAGCCACTTGGGGCCAAAGGGTGGTCCTGGGGCAGGGTGGCGCAGAAGCAAGCAGAGGTCAGGTGGTGGAGCACTTGGCACTTGCCAGGCTGAGGAGTTTGCACTTGACCCTGGCTATGGGTAATGAGGAACTACTGAGAGATTTTGATTAGGGGAGAAGGTTTGTCTACTGCGTAAGGGGATGGAGGTGGGGTTTGAAAGGAAAGGAACAACACACAGCAGCAATTCACCGGAGAATTCTGCTTTATTAGGGAAAGGTGCTGGGTTATATAGGAAGGCACATGAGCTGATTGAGGTGTCACTTCTACAGGGCTGGTGACTATTGGCTAGGTGCTGGGATTAGGGGGGTCAAGGGGTGAGTTTGCCATCTTATGGGTGGGGGCCCTTCAGGGGTTGGTGGCCTGAGGTGGAAGACTGACAGGCCAGTTAAAAGGCTATCTGAGCCCAGGTGAGAAAAAAGAAGGTCTAAACCAAGCTCAAGCTTGAGTTAAGAAATAATGGGTCTTCCCAGCGGGGCATGCCCGGGCATCCCTGCCCACCAGGAAGAGACACATTGTGTCTGGGTGTGGGGCCTGAGAAGGTCCCTTGCCTACCCTCTTTCTCATCTTCCTCACTGGGACCCATTCCCTGTCACCCTCACCCCCATCAGCTTAACTCGGGTCTCTCAGGGAATCAAGGTCCTCCAAGGCTAGATGCCACCTTAAAACCAAGGTCATCTCTCCTCTGGGTCAGGACAAGTTCCTGTCCACCCTCCACTGGTTCCCATCCAGCCCTCTCCCAGCCACGCTTCCTACCCAATCCCACTCCTCACACTTTACTGAACACTCAGTGAGCTCCATCCCAATATGCTACTCCCTGAACCTCTATCTCACTCACCACATCCTTAGCTCTACCCCTCCATAGAGCCTCATCCCTTACTGGGCTCCCATTTAGAAGTAAGACACTCTCCAAAGCTGTCTAGTAGGGTAAAAAGACATATTAGTAGAGAATAACATCACAAGGTGATTCAAGTACTGGGGGCATGGGGACACAGAGAAATAATGAATCCAGACTCTGCAAGAAGGCAAGATCAGGGAAGACTTCCTGGAGGAGGTGACTTTAATTCTGAGGCTTGAAGAGTTAGGCTCAGGAGGAGGCAGACAGTGTTCCCCAGGCAGAAGGACCAACTTGAGCAAAGACACAGAGCTATGAAATAGTGTGAAGTGTTCAGAGAAACAAAAATAGCTCCATATTGCTAGAGGTAGTGTTGAGAGATGAGGTGGATGGGATGAGCTCATGGAAGCTTTTTAGGCCAGGTAGAGGAGTTATGTTTAATTCTGCTGGCAGAGGGGAGCTATTGATAGATTTTAGGCAGGGGTGTTTTGATTTTAGGATCATCAACTTGTAAGGGCTTTGCACAAGAATGAAGGAGGCAGAGAAGCAGCAGGAGAATGGAGGAGGGCACAGACTGGCCTTCCTGGCTCCAGGGGTCTCACTGAGTGCTTGGGGGCAGAGGCAGTGGGGGGCTGGGGACGTGCCTGGGAAGGGCAGGGCTGAGTGAAGGGGGTTTAGGAAGGAGGCCCCATCCCTTCCATGAGTGCCCTCACTGCTTCCACAGCCTCCTCAGCTAGGCTGCAATCCTCCAAGGCTGCCTCTCCTTCACGCCTCCCTCCCATCACAGGCGCAAGAGCCAGAGGAAGCCTTTCAACCTGTGAATCTGATCATGGCCTTCCGTGGTCCCTTTCCTTGCCAATAAAATAAAGTCTGATTTCCCACTCTGTGGGTGCATTAGGGTGTTTGGTGCCTCAGAGCCTTTGCACAGGCTGTTCCTCCTGTGTGGCACCCCTTCTTCACCAAGCCGCCGGGTAAGGGATTGCCCTTTGTTACTCACCTGTTCACCACAATGCGTAGCCAGCCCTGCCTTCCACATCCTTGGGTGGATCTTTGTTTATACCTCCAACCCTCAGCTCCTAGCAGCTCGGGCATGCGTTAGGTGTGCAGCAAACGTCTATGGAAGAACAAGCCTTGGTCTTCCCCTTTGAACCATTATGCACCCCCAACAGCCATCTTCTTTGGACCTCCTCTCTGCCAGCCCCTCCCTCTGGCTCTCTCCCCACCTCACTGCCCGTCCATTAGCCTCACTGAGTGCTCACCTAAGAGACACCCTTGGGTTCCTATCCCCCTTGGTAAGTATCCCTTATCTTCATTGAGCTGACCCCTACCCATCACTGAACTCCGCTTCTCCTTGATGAGCTCCGATTCCCCCTCCTGAGCCCCCAGACATCAGGGAACTCAGCTCCATCAGTCCTGACCCTATCCTGTAGCCTCAAGGCCAAGTCCACCACCTGAGCTCCCGTGTCCCTGGGTCTTTGCTCCATCAGTTTCCCTGCCACTGAGTCTGAGCACAGCACCTGCTCCCAGCTGGTCTCTCCTCTCTGTATCCTATGTTCTCTGATTGTCTGTGTCCCTCCCTCACGTAAGCCCCACTTCCATCCATTCCACTCACTCTGCAGCCTGCTGTGGTTCAGTTCTCATTGCACCACCCTGCCAAATCGCTCTTCTGAGATCACCCAGTCACGGCCCAACACAGATCTGCCTCGGAGCTGGGGGGCCCCTCCTGGGCCGGCCCCACAAAGCTCTCCCTTTTCAACTCTCCCTCAGCCTCCTCCCACCTATCCAGGGACCCCTTCGCAGCCTCTCTCTGAGCCCCTGTTCCCCTGCTTGCCTGCTGAATGTGAGTGTTGCCCCAGGCCTCAGCCCTCGGCCTTCTCCTCCTGCTGTACAGCTTCTGCCTTGGCGTCCCTTCCACTCCCGGGGGTTCAGCCACCAATGACAGCTTTGTGGACAGATCCCTGGTTCTCTCCCCGTCTCTCCAGCTAATTCCTTATATGAGATGCCTCTCCTCCCTCACCTCCTTTTACTCCTCTACCACTGCCCTCTGTTCTGCGCCCGCACCATGGCCCCAACAACCTGCTTGTGGCCGATGCCTTACATGACACCTCCACAGCGCCTGGCATGTTGACGCTCCCTCCTCTGTTGAGTGTACCCTTCTCTTGGCTTCTATGACGCGACGGGCTGTTGGGCGTCCCCTACCCTTCTGGTTGCTCCTTCTCAGGCTCTTAGCTGGCCCTTCTTTTTCTGTCCCTTCTCTTAAATGTCCAATTCCTCTTCCTATTCTCTGTACCCACTCTCCCTGCCATCTCATGGACCTCCATGGATTTGATGACTGTTTTCATGTTAAAGACTCCACGTCTCCATCTCCAGCCAAAGTGCTTCTCAGTTCCAGACCCACAGGTTCAACTACCTAGTAGACACCCTCCCCTGGGTGTCCCACAGGAACCACAACCTCAACACATCTAAAACTTAACGACTCAGCACTCCCCCACGCAAACCTGCTCCACCTCCTGTGGCCCCTCCCTCAGCGCAGGACCAACAGCTACCCTGTCACACAAGCCCAACTCCTGGAATAAGTCAACATCCACCATGTTCTTCGGGCCTCCTTCCTGCCAGCCCCTCCCTCGGGCTCTTTCCCCACCTCACTGCCCGTCCATTAGTCAGCGTCGACTTATTCCCTCACCCCCTTGTCCAGTGCACCACGTAGTCTTGATTTCACTGCCCGAATGTCTGACTGCATCTACTCCTTCTCATCCTCTTGCCTCAGCCCTTCCTCTGTGAGCCTGGAGTCTTCCTGCCTCCAGGTCTGCGCTGCCTGCAGCCCATTCTCCACACTACAGAGTGATCCTTCCAAAATGGAATCCTGATCATATCTCCTATTTTACAGCCTCCAGTGATTCCTCTGTTCCTTTAGGACAATGTCCAAACCCCCCCTTTATATGAGTTTGAGACCCTCCCTCTTCTGGCCCTACTTCCCTCTCTGGCTTCATGGCTAACTGCTTGCTCCATGCTCCGGCCATGCTGAACTAATTTCAGATCCCCCACGTGTGCCACACTTCCTCCTGCCATGTCATTGATAACGCTGAAGAAAATTGCACAGAAATTTGTTCTTGCTTGACTGGGAGGCGGGCAACAGGATTCTGAGAAGGCCTTTTGCAAATCTGTGCTTAAAAAGGTGACAAGGAAGGAATGAGTTTGACAGCATAACCATTGAGGCCTACAGATGGGACACGTGGGTGACTTCTGTTATTGACATCGGGGCAAAAAAACCTAGAAGGAGCATTCCTTTACAACAATAAATTCAGCTAAACCCTGAGTAGCAGAGGATTTAATATCTTTGAGGTAGACGTGGTCCCTAAAATCTACCATAATTTATTAATTTCTAATACTCTGAATAAAAGCCCAAAGTGGAAAAATAATCCCAAGGGCTCCCCTCCTAACTCCAGTACAACATTTGGAGTATTTTTTTGTTCTTATAATAACTAAACCAACAAGAATGATATTAATTAATCAATTAAACAGTAACATTAACTCTACACAGGGAAGTTCTACATTTAAAAAATTCAGGCTAGCCGTATGTTCAGCTTCCATTGTCACCCTGTACTGTCCTGCCCTTAGCCTTCATAAATGTTGTTCCCTCTGTCTGGAACATACACTGACTGTGAAGCCTCATTCAAGTGACTTAAATTATACATTTCCTCATCTGTAAAAGTGAAGATAAAAAAAAAATAAGAATAGTACCTGCTTCCTAGGTTGTAAGGATTAAATGTGTTCATACTTGTAAAGCACTGCGAACAGTCCCTGCCCCCCAATAAGTGGCCACCCCTGAGTGATCAGCTGCCACGATTAGGATCATGATGTCATCATTATCATTGCTTTGTTTGTCATTCTCCCCTGCCTTCCTCCACTCGTCTTCCTAACTCTTACTCATTGTCCTGTTCCCGAAACAGGGCTCCTGCACAGCAGCCCTCCAGAGTGGGCATCCTCATCTCCTTTTTCAGTGGTGGAAGGGAGGCACACCAGATCCAGAGTTTTGCCCAGGATCTCAGGCTGGGGATTTGGCCCGGGTCCGGCCCACTCGAAGCCTGAGCTCTGGGTCCGCTATGCGGCACAATCTGCCGTAGTCCTTGTGATTCCACTGGCTCTCTGCCTCCAGCTCTACCTACCTCTTCTTGCTGCCTGGTTCCTCCTAAGTGGCTCGTAACTACTCTCCTTCCTTATCAGCTGCTTCTCTTCCCATGGGCCTTCTAGCGCCTGCCCACTATTCCCCCTACCTCTAGGCCAGAGCCCTGGGACTCACTGCACACTCCCCCCCATCCTGCGGGTCACCACAGTCAGCTGATTGTATCCCCTCAGTATCTCCCAAATCTTTCCTCTCTGTGTCTACTGAGCAGAATTTGTTTTAAGACTTTCTCCTCTTCCTCACCTGGATGGTCTGGTCAGCTTCCTTCCGATGGTCCTTCCATCTCCGGCCTCTGCCCAGGCTGCCAGAGGGACCTTCCCGACACGAATCAGAGCATGTCTCACTCCTGCTTAAAACTTGTCAGTGGCTCCTTATTGTCTCATGAGCTTTGAAAAAGGTCCCAAGAAAAACTCTGTAAAACAAGGGTTCTGGGGCCAAAATATTTGGGAAGTGTGTGTCCCTTCTTAGAGAGTCCAGTCTGCACAGGAACCAAGTAAAGGGCGTGGGGACCCCTACAGTGAAGAATCCTGTTTAGACTTGCTGAACCCGGTGGTTCTCAGTCTTACCTGATGCAGAGCCCTTTTCTCCATAGCCTCCTATGAACATTTAGGACAATCAAGTTCCAAGGAATATTCTGGGAAATATTGCCTGGCAGGATCAAGTTCAAGTTCCTTAGTTTGATATAAAAGGTCCTTCAAGATAGGACACCTTATCCACAACTGCCCTCCTCACCCCACCTGCACCCCAAATTATCTGCAATTCCCCTTAGGTAGTTTTACACCTCTGTGGTCCTGCTCCTACAGGGCGCTTGTCTCTCTGTCAATGGACCAATCCCTACTGATCCTTCAAGAGCTGGCCCGAAGGCACCACCTGGTGACTCCTTCCCTTTCTTCTTTTTGGGTCCACTATTTCTTGGCTATGTGGACGTCAATGTTTGTGTTTGCGAGTCTGTCTGTGCCACGGAAAGATCAGTTCAGAGTGGCCATTCATCTTTGCTTCCACGTCCCCTTTGCCTGCAGATGGTACTTGGGAGGAGCTCGGTGAGTGTTGGTTGAACAAGTAGATAAGGGAAGGGGATCAAAGGTCTGAGACTCTGTGCAGGGGCTGGAGATCATGCTTCAAAGGACGGGTCTAAGGCACGTTTTTCACCTTCAGCACTATTGATATTTTGAGCCAGGCAATCTGTTGTGGGGGCTGCCCCATGCATTGTCAGATGCTTCTCAGCACCCCTGGCCTCCCTCCCTCCCTTACATGCCAGTAGGGACCCCCTTGACCACTGTGACATATGTCTCTAGATACTACCAACTGTCCCCTGAGGAGGAAAGTCATCTCTGGCTGAGATCGCTGTGCTAGACGTAGATGACTCCAGTTGTCTTCCTGTTGCTGGGCAGGCAATCTTGTCCTCAGATAGTTTAGCCCATTATCCCTCTTGTCCTGAAAACCTTCTCATGGATTAAAAAAAAACCTCCTTCCATACCTAAAGCTGAGTTTTTCTTCCTCTGGGGAGGGGAGGAGAGAGGAGGGGAAAGTTCCAGGAAGGGTGGAGCTTCAGTAGCTTCTCTGGGGATGGTACGGCAAGCCTGGAGGGTGAGCTTGTGTTGTGCCCAGAGCCAGAGAGGCTGTTAGGATGGATGGAAGCTCTTGCTCCAGGCACCTGTGCTGGTGCCCTTGAGAGAGGATACTGGGGAGGTTTATTAAACAGCCTTGCAAAGAGCTGCTGGCTTGGCCTGTACGTTCTGAGAAGCACATTCATTCTGTAGGTGGAAATTCCAATCTCCTCACTTCCCGTCTTTGTGGGAGCCTGGGAAAGATAAAGGTTCTTCTATGGCCACCTTCTCACCCTTGTTGCACCCTTGCAGTCAGTGTTGAGGGGAGCCAGGCCTGTTCCAAAGGCTGTGAGCTCTGCTCTGAGGTCAACGGCTGCCTCAAGTGCTCACCCAAGCTGTTCATCCTGCTGGAGAGGAACGACATCCGCCAGGTGGGCGTTTGCTTGCCTTCCTGCCCGCCTGGATACTTCGATGCCCGCAACCCCGACATGAACAAGTGCATCAGTGAGTGTGGGCAGGGCTGCAGAAGGGCCCCAGAGGCTCTGGGCCCTGGGAGAGGGCGCTTTGAACTGTTGGTGGCTGATCTGAGGAATAGAGGGAACACTGAGGAGGGGAAATGAGGGTCCCGATCCAAGTATCTGGTCGCTGGCAGACATCACCTCAGATAGCCCACGCGGGTTTCCAGCTCAGTGTGCCCAATTCAGAACCACATCTCCTCCCTCCAAACCTGCACCAACCTCTATGTCCATAGGTCACTCTCAGTGCCCCAGGCCATCACCCCAGCTACAGACCTGAGAGGCAACCTCTCATTTATACCATCCGCTATCCGTCTAATAACGGAACTGTGCCTGCTCCATTTTCTGTCTATCCTCACAGCCGTGGGGTCTTACCCAGGCTCCACTCGCCTCTACCTGGACTAGTGCAATTGCCCTTTTATCTGTCCTCTAGCCTGCATCTGGTTCCCTTTGCCCCTCACTCCACACTGCAGCCAGAAAGATGTACAACCTATCCATCATACTTCTTCTTAAAACCCAGCCCCAGCTCCACTGACCACAAAGAACTTCAAGCCTGGAGAGCTTGCTCTTTCCCATACTCTCCCTGGTCTTCTCACTGGGCTTTGCTCTTCCACACTAGCTACAATTTCCCGTGCTCCAAGGCATGTGTTATCACACTTCCATCCTGTCTCAGGTTGACATGCTGGGGAACATGCAGTGACCACACCCCTTTGAACGGTGCCAGTGTCCCCTCCCATGTGCTCAGTACCTTGCAGTTTAGATGCATTTCCAGTGCTCTTATTAGTTAAGTCTCAAAACCACTTTTGAAGGGAGATGAGACCTAAGTGATGGGGCCCTTTTCATAGCTGCTAACAGCAAGGCCTGACCAAGCCAACTTGGGTACCGATCCCAACTTTGCAACTTATTCATTATATGACTTTGAGCATGCTGCAACTTCTCAAAACCTCATCTTTAAAAGGGGAGTACTAGTTTTTACCCCATAGGGTTGTTGTGAAAGGCATGTGTAAAGCCCTTAAAATGCCTGGCACTCGGGTAGCTGCTAGTGTTCTTATTTTACCTGCAACCAGACCCAGGAATAGGAGGGTGAGGTTGGGGTGCTTGTGAGGATGGAGGTAGGACCCTGGGGCTCCCTCTTGTTCCCCAGGGTACCTGGGGTAGGGAGTTCCTGGCTGGAGTTTCCCAGCTCCTGGGAACTGGCAGCCCAAGCTGCAGGTGCCAGAGACTGGGAGGAAGTTAGCCCTGCCCACCACCTGGGAATGGAGAGATTGTGAAACACCCTGCTTGCTTCCAGCAGGCCCTGCAACCCACCTCCCCGCACCTCCCCTGAGGAGGGAAAGCTGGCAGGAGGGGAGCAGGGAGGGGTCTGGAAGTCCAACCAAGGTGGCTCCTGGAACTTGGCCTCGAAGAGGGAGAGGAATTTGCCCTGAGATTTCTCCTCCCTCCTCCAAGCAGATCTTTTCTGCCCCAGGCAGGAGGAGAACCAGGGTTTGGGGTATTGTGGGTGCCCAGCAATGGAGGAAGAGGAAACCATACGGCTATGATCAGGGGTCATTGTATCTCTCAGTTCAGCTCTGAGTAGGTGGCCCTCTGGGGTGCCACGAAATGCTGGGACCCTCCTCTGTCATCCCCATTAATCCCAGAAGGTACTACCCACCTCCTCTGAAACCGAGTCTCTTGGGCCTCATCTTGGGTCCCAGGGCCAGGAATTAGACTTGGGCTGGGGTCAGCTGACTACACAAGCCCCAAGCAACCCTGAAGAGTGGCCACTGGGGCCTCCTCCCCTGGACCCTGTCCTTCCCTCCTCCCGGGACCCCTCTGTAGCAACCTCAGTACCAGGCCAGGTCCTGCCTCCGTGTGGGTGGGCGTGGAGGGCTGGGCACTGGGGATGGGAGGAGGGGAAGTGCCCATTCCAGGCTGGAGAGCCCCATCTGGTCCTCCCCTCAGAATGCAAGATTGAGCACTGCGAGGCCTGCTTCAGCCACAACTTCTGCACCAAGTGTAAGGAGAGCTTGTACCTGCACAAGGGCCGCTGCCACCCGGCCTGTCCCGAGGGCTCTACAGCTGCCAGCGGCACCAGAGAGTGCAGCAGTCCTGGTAGGAGCAAGCAGGGAGCCTGTGGAGGGGGGTCCAGGGCTAGGGAGGGGGCAGGGAAAGCATGGGCTGGGCCACCTCTCAGAGAAAGCACACCTCTCAGAGAAAGCACACCCCAAAGGTGCCTCTGGCCTGAGGCCCAGGCAGTAAGCAGGTGGGAGAGGCTACCCTAGGGTATTCGAGGCCGGGAGAGGAGATGTGACCCCTCCTCCTCTCCCTTCTCTTTCCCTTCCCTCCCTTCCTGCCAGTGCAATGTGAAATGAGTGAGTGGTCCCTTTGGGGGCCATGCTCCAAGAAGAAGAAGCTCTGTGGTTTCCGGAGGGGCTCTGAGGAGAGGACACGGAGGGTGCTGCATGCTCCCGGGGGAGACCATGCCATCTGCTCTGACGTCAAGGAGACCCGGAGGTGCACAGTGCGGAGGACGCCCTGTCCTGAGGGTGAGCTGCAGCCGCATTTCCCCGGGGTTGGGGTCTGGCACAGTCATGAAGGTCTGACCACTTCTGCTTCCTGCCTGCTGCTCAGCAGAGGGCCTCAGGCCAGGGCCAGATGTGGAGCCCCCAGCTCGAGACCACATGCTGTGTGAACCAGAACCAGGTGCCAGCAGACAGCAGCCCCCAGAACTCTGTATGGTGGGAGCGGGGCACTTCTGCGTTATACCCCTCCTGTGTCCCCATTTCTTCTGAGCCAGCAGATGTTGGCATTGGAAGAGGCCTCAGAGGTCAGATGCGGGCATGGAAGGGGTGCTGAGAACCGGAGAGGTATATTGATTTGACCAGGGTCACACAGCCTGCATTGGCAATGATGGCAGCTGGCCACAGAGGCAGAAGTGTAGGTAGAGGAGTGGGGGACATTCTGCCTGTCCTGGCCCATTGGGGTCTAAGGTCTGAAGAAGACATGAGGGAAAGGAGGTTGTCTGGTTCATCAAGGGTTGAAGGGGGCCTTCTCTCACATGTTGCAGGGTTCTCTGATGTAGCTGCCCATCAGAGGAGGCCTTGAGTGGACCCCGACTGCCTCAAGGCAGTGTCCCCATGCCTCCTCCCTGCCTGCCCTGCCTAGCTTCCTCACATCCCCTCCCAGGGCCTTCGGCCATGCCCAGGGCCTCCTTACTTGGGGCAGCATGCCCTAGGCTGACTCTTCCTGCTGTTGGGGTTGCAGGGCAGAAGAGGCGGAAGGGAGGCCAGGGCCGGCGGGAGAACGCCAACAGGAACCCGAGCAGGAAGGAGAGCAAGGAGGCGGGCGCCGGCTCTCGGAGACGCAAGGGCCAGCAACCGCAGCAGCTAGGGCCGGCGGGGCCCGTCACACCTGCGGGGCCCACCTAGGGACGCTCTTCAGCCTCCACGCTCACGCAAAAAGAATCCAGCGCTGCTCTGTGTTTTGACAGCTTTACTGAACTGGAGCCCCGGGGCAAAGCGTACACACACTCTCCATATACGCATGGGAGCACTGGTGTACACGCAGACCCCATGCCCAAATGTGCAGCCACCATACAGGCACGCGTGTGCATACACATGAACAGTCAAGGCCACCAGAAGGCACTTCCATCCCTCGGACATCCCTGTTTGAACAGGGTGGGGAAGCAGAGGGGTCATCTCTGCCTGGCAGAGGGCCTAGTGGCACACACATGGTTTGCGATGCCTCCAATGGATGTGCCAGAGAGAACATCTCCCAGTATCCAAGCCCAAACTTTGCAGAGTGGAGCCTTCTGGAGGAGCTGGTAGGACCAGCCCAGTGTGGCAGACAGGAGCCAAAGCTTGAGGACTGCTTGGCCTTCCCAGCTGTGTGGCTTTATCCTTGGAGAGGACTGTTACACACCTCAGATCCGTATCAGGGCTGCCCTGCTCTGAAAACTGCTTAAAGGTTTATTTCAAATTAAAACCAAAACCAAATGAGAACAGTAGCCACAGGCACCACATTCCTTTTCAGGGTTACAGGGATTGGTGGGGTACATGGTAGCAGGAAGGGACAGGGCTGAATTTCAAGAGACACCCTTTCCTCAATCCCAGTGGCCTCCTAGACAGAGGATCCAGAGAAGGAAGAAAATTTTAGGGATATTTGGAGGCGGGTAACCAGCTTCACCACATCCTTATCACTCAAGAGTGTGGTCCATGAACCAGCATTGATATTTTCACTGGGCAGTGTGTTAACAATGAGAATCTCAGGTCCCATCCCAGGCCTGATGGACCACAGTCTACCTTATAACAAGGTTTCAGGTGACTGGCGTGCACACTCAGGTTTGGGAAGCCCGGCTCTAGTTACCTCTAAGGATGGAACAAGGTCTGGCCAGCTTCCAGCAGCCAGAATTTTGGGCAGCTCTACAAGACTTTCTGTCTGGGAGAGGTAGCATCTAGATACTAAAGCACTAGAGTGGCACACGTGGAAGGAGGGAGTGATCAGGCTCTCTGAGATGGTGGGGGATAATGGGACCCAAATGCAGAACAGTGGATGGAATGACCTCTTGTGACATTCTGAACTGTCCACTGATAGCCATTCATACACCAGGCTCTGGACTAAGTATTTGGTTTCCAGACGGGAGCCAGACATGGGCCTTGCTCTCACAGAGCTTAGAGCTTGGTAGGGGTGACAAGTGTGAATCAAGTAATCATTCAAAAAAATGTATAATTACAAACGGGTGGAGTTGAGGGCAGGCAACCACTGGCATGTAAACATAGCTATGAAAGTGAATAGAAGTAAACAAAAATTAAAGACTTTATCTCAGGGAAGCTTTCCAGAGGAGGTGTTATTTAAGCCAAGCTCTGAAGGATGAGTAGGAGTTAAGGCAAAGAGAAGGAATCGTAATTCTAGAACAGTGCTGTCCAATAGAAATAGAATATGAGCCACTTAGGTAATTTAAATTTTTTCTAGTAGCCATACTAAAGAATAAAAAGAAACAGGTGAAGTTTTAATTTTATCTTTTATTTAACCAAACATATGCCAAATGTTACCTTCTTTTTAACATGTAATCCATATAAAAAATTATTGAGAGCTTTTACATTCTTTTTTTTTCAAACCAAGTCTTCAACATTCTTTGTGTATTTTTATACTTTATGGCATATCTTAATTTGGATATGAAGTTTTTACTAGAAATATTTGACCTTTATTGAGATTTTATAAAAATAAGAGTTGAAAGGTAGATTCACATACTCAGCTTGTTTCAGGAATAGTTAACAGTTTGTCAATCATTAAATTGAACATGTTTTTAAAATTTAAATTTAATTCATTAAAATTCAGTAACATTAACAATTCGGTTCTTCAACTGCACAAGCCATGTTTCAATGCTCACTAGCCACATGTGGCTACTGGCTACCATATTGGACAGCATAGTTCTATACAGAGGGCATAGCACATGCAGTGTGGTAGATGGCACAATGTCTTGTGGCAGAAAGGCACTTATTGTTCAAGGAGCTGAAAGAAAGCCAATATAACTGGGAAGGCCTGGAGGGCGAGTGAGGTGAGATGATTCCAGAAAGGTCTCCTGGAGTTGGGTCTTTATTCTCAGAGCCAGGGGAGGGTGCCGAAGAGTTGTAAGCAGCAGGCCAAGATGACTAGCTTTGCATTTTGCAGAGACCATGTTGGCTGTAGTATAGAAGTCAGACCAGAGGGAAGCTGCTCAGGAGGCTGTTTCTGTTGTCCAGGTGATCGATTTTGGAGGTTTGCATTAGGGCAGTGGCAGTGCACACGGGGAGAGAGTGCACAAAGTAAAGGTATTTGGTGAATAGCATCGGTGATGATCTGGATATGGAAGGAAGGAGAAAGGGAGGGGAGGTGTCAAGGACAAAGTCCCTGTTTCAGGCTCTAACACCCAGATAGATGATGGCACTGTATTGTGAGATGGGGAGCCCATGGGAAGATCAGTTTGGGAGGACAAGGAGGAACATAACTTTGGCTTTGATCATGTTGAGTGTGAGGTGCCTCTGAGACACCCTAGCGAAGATGGCAAGTAGAGCTGGAACAGAAACTGGTTTGGAGAAGATAATTGAGGCTGTGGGCTGGGAAGAGGCCAACTAAGAAGAGTACTGAGTGAAGAGAGGTTCAGGACTCAGCTCTGCGGCCTGAGTGTAAAGGTCGAATGAGGGCGGATCCGTCAGCAACAAAGTCAGAGAAGGATCAGGCAAGAGGAAAACCAGGGGAATGTCGTGTCCCAGAAGCCAGCAAGGCTATTAAGAGACGGAGCAAAGAAGGACTGGAAGTTACCACTGGACTTACAACATGTGTGGCAATCATAACCGTAGCAAGAGCTGTTTGGAGAGGCTGATGGAGGGAGAAATCAGTACAAACAATTCCTTCAGGAGGTTTAGCTGAGAAAAGGAGAGAAGTAGAACAGGGGCTGGAAAAGATATGGGGGAAGAGTATTTTCTTTTTTTAGGTGGGAAAGATCTGAGAATGGTTAAAACCTGCTGGTAATGGTCCAGTTAAAAGAGGTTGAATACATGGGGAGAGAGAAGGTAAAACAGTGGTGGATGGCTCCTGGGGGCGGGACAGCTCTGCCCGAGCAAGGAGAGGGTGGTGCGGTGGTGCAGGTGTGGGAAGGCTGGGGCGTCAGGAAGGTGGGGGAGCCTCAGGTTTGTGCCCGGACACTCTCTAGGGCTCATCCCCCCTGTGCCTGAGAGCCCTGCCCTGCTGGTCAGGATTTGGGGCCCGTGCTGGAGCCTAGGGGGTCATGGGCTGCCCATGGGCACTTCTGGCCTGCACCCAGCTCCTCACTGTGCCCCCTCTTCTTGACCCTGGCTCTCCCTTTGCCATCCCCTCTGGCCCTAGCAGTCATCCGTCTCTGGTTTTGGCCTCTCCGCCTTTGCCCCTCCCTGTTCCTCTGACTCGGTCCTCTTCTCTGCCCCTCTTTCTGTCACCCTGTCTTTCCCTGGCCCCGCCTCAGCCTCTGATCCTGTGTGTGTGCCATATTGCTTCTCTCTGCTTTACCGTCTCCTCCGGGTGTTACTCCTCAGTCCCCATATGTCTTGGCTATCTCTGGCTCTGATTTGTCCCATTCTCCCAGATCCGTAGGTCCTCCCTACTCAAAGTGTGGCCATGGGTCAGCAACCTCAGCTAATTGGGGTTAAAAATGCAGGCTCTCAGGCTCTTCCCAGACCTGAAGAATCAGGATTTGCTTTATAACAGATCCACCAGGCGATTCATGCACATGTTAACTGTTTGAAAAGCACTGCCTTAAGCTGTGCTCTGAAACAACATCAAAGCAAAAATCAATACTCTTAGCAACATGGAATGATTTGGAGATCCCTGTATCTCCTGTCACTCTGGTGATGTTCTGAGGCATTCAGTTTCCCTGCATCACCCCCCTGAGCTTCCCAAAGCTGCTCCTGAAGCTCTCTGCAGCTAAAGGATGGAACATAATGCAGGCTTCAGGAGCTTTCACATCTGCAGAATGACTGAGGGGAGGGAAGAGGGAATTCTCCTGCTACTGATCCTCTGGGAGTTCCAGATGCAGTCCTGGGGCATCCCTGAAAACAGCCCCATCTGGATCTATCCCTGTATGTCTCCATCTGTCCTTTCTAGACTAAGAATGTTGTTTAGAGCTGAGGTGGGGCGTGGGTTTCAAGATGAGGGACAGGTACCTGCACACAGCCCTAAAAGCAGCCCACCTGAGGCCAGAGACCAGAAAGACTGATCAGAGGTCACACCTAGTGACTTTCAGAATGAGCCAGTGCTGGAGAGAGGGAGTCACATCAAGATTCCTAACCCTACTCCCAGGTTTAGGTAACAACAGTACATGGTTTGCATGTGGTCATTAAACGCCCACACTGCCATTTGGAAAATGTTAGCTTTTTCCTCTATGGGGTCGCAGAGCTGCCCAGACTAACACATTTCTGCCCACCTTACCCAGTGCCAGCTCTGCTGTATTTCAGACCAAGTCTCCAGAGAATGGATTTGTTTTCCATTTCAGTATTTTGGGTGATGGGGTTGCATTCTCTGCATTTGTTTTTTAAATAGTTTTATTTCCTCCCTCTGGTTTGTTTGGTTTGGTTTGGTTTAGAAGCACTGAGAGGGAATTTAGGAAAAAGGGTTGGCTTCCTGGGCCCTGATTCAAGTCCCTGACACAGGGCCAGTAACCCAGGTGCTGGTTGTTTTGCCCCTGACTCCTCCAGCTATGGTCCAGACCAGATTTAAACAGACAACAGGTAGCAACCCTGGTGAAAGGTGGTAAGAAAGGAGAAAAACAATCCGAGAGAACAGGTTCCATTTTAAGGATTAAATTGATTCCCTACAAAGGGGCTGGAGTACTGTCTGGCTAGTGAAGTGAGCCGGGACAGAAGCCTGGTTTATAGGGGAGGAGAGCAGAGCTGAAGATCAGGTGCCTCGGGGTTGCTGAGACTGAGCAAATCAGAGCTGGGTGCACCTGCTTTAGTGTGGCATGCCTCCTGGCTGTCCCAAGGAAAGAGCTGACCGAGGGTGAAGAATAAACAGGCTTGAGCTGGAGGCTTGGTTGAGGTCCCCTTGGCATTCGAGAGACCCTAGGGGAGCAGCCATTGATGAGGATGGCTACTAGAGGCAGATCTGCTTTTCCTGACCCCCTAGCCTACCAGGGTGGTGGTGAGGAGGGTGAGAGACCCACCCCTATGGCTAGAGAAGGTGGCTTGGGTCCTACCCTAGAGCCTTCCAGAACTTAAGTAGGAAATTGCGAAACAGCTACATTTTGAAAGAGAAAGTATGTGAAATATGGTTCCTCCCTCGCCTGTACACTCTCCCAGAGCTTGGTGCAGGGAGGTGGGTGAGATGGATTCCTGGCTAGACTCAGTCTGGTGTGGAAAAGAAGGCGGAGCCAAACCCCCAAGGGCCCCTCAGGCTAGGCCACAGCAGCTGCTAGCCTTTGGTTATTGATTATTGTTATTGGGATGTACTTTTTTCCATCTGTTGAGTATCAGCCTGGCCCATGGAGAGGACCGGCTCCTTCCCCTGGCTGAAAGGGCTGGCTTCTGAGGGCTCCCTCTGCAACCCAGTATGTACCATGGGTGGCTGACTAGATATTTGGAATGTCTTCAGGTTGAGCCAGGCCTGTCCATAAAACGGGAGGCATTTTGGCAGTTCCAAGGCCCCTGGCACCCAGTCTTGGCAATGGCCCGGCTGTCTTCTTCAAGGCGCTGGGGTGGGATCCGGGCCAGCATGCTTCCCTGGGAAACATTGAAGTGAGTTAAAGTCAACAATGAGTTCATCTCCAAAAGAATAAGCCGGCAGCCTTCAGGGCAGGGGAATCAGAGGAGGGGGAGCAGGGATTCGGTGGTGGAGGGGGTTAAGTGATGCTGGAACAGCCAGATGAGATCCAAGCCTGTCAACCAAGCTGGCAACTCAAGGAACAAAGGAAAGTGCTTTCCCAGGCCAGCCCTGGAGAGCTCACTTGGAAAAGGTGGTGACAATGAGTGTGTCACAATCTTAGGGACCGTGGGAAGTGTCCTCTTGAGGATTGCGAGCTGGAGCAAGACGCTACGTGGAACGAGGCTGAGGTGGTGGGCTTGGTGGATGGCTCTGTGAGCTCTGGCTTTGCTGGCCCCAGGCCTGCCTTGTGGGCACATGAGGATGGACATTTGGACAGGTGAACGCCAGACTCATCTTGGAGGATGGGAGCAGGAGGCCTCAGGTGTCCAGGCCCAGTGAAAAGAAGGCTCAGGATTGCAGAATTTAGCATTTTAATCTGAACATCTCTATTATTAGATTTATCTCTGAGGGCTTTACGTTTGGATAATGGTTCCTGATTTGAGCCAGTGTCTCACTTCTGTGACCTTTATCATTTGCGGCATGAGGAAACCACATCCTAATGGGCATCTGATGGCTCTCTGCTCACTTGATCTGATGCACCGTGGAGCTGGGGAGCCCATAGCAGAGGAAAGCCAGAAGTGAGCTGCACTCTGGGACCAGCCTGAAGCCCGAGCCACCTCTCTTTGGGCACCAAGTAGAGTCCCAGCCTGCTGGCCACATCAAATATTAGGCTCCAAGTGGAGGAAAGAGAGCACCATCTCCCCACTTGGGACAGAAAAGCTCAGTGA